TAGCTTGCCCTGAACGTGCCTAGTATGTTTTTATAAGCTGTAAAAATAAATACAGTGATTTAAAACACTGGAAAGCCCAAGCAGTGATAAATCCAGCTCTGTATAAATGTAAGGCATGACTTCCTGAGATATCTGTGCTCTCTGTGAACATTTGGCCCAGTTCAGCACATCTGAGCTTTTCCTCTGCAGGTGCCAGTGAGTTAGCCACATGTTTGCAGGGCTTGCCCCTCCTTTTTCTGGGGCTGCAAAATGGTGATCCATCCTTGCAGAGTTTGGCCAAGCAAAAGACCAAACTCACTGAAGCTAGGCAGCATTTGAAAACTAGTAGTTTACATGCAGATTAAACAAAACCAGGTTTGTAGAGAGAAGTCGTACTTTCTTATTAGAGCAGCTTCTATAGGTGGGAAAAAAGGCAAGCTTTTAGACATGTGAGACCACCTTCTGGCCTGTAACAGAATGTTCAAAGCAAGAATGTTCAAAGCTAAGTACAAGTTGAAAACAATTGCTCTGTTTTTACTTCATTATGTTAAACAGAGCACTGTTAGGACTGACTGGCCAGCTCCTAGAGCCCAGAGAGTCATCAGGCTCTGAGTTAGGAAGAAACTGTATTTGGTCCAGTGATGTCGGTCTGTATTAAACCCACATATGGCTCCACCAGTTTCAGCAGACAAACATTTTGTTTAACCGAAGCACTTAGTGATCATTTTGATTGAGAAATGGTTTATTTACAGTAAAAGGCAGGATGGCCTTCGTGGGTAGGATTCTAAGCTGAAACTCTGAAGTCAGCCTTTCCTCTCTACCCAGCTGTTGGTCTGCAGAGCGATCTACAGAGAAAGTGGGCCTATGCGTCAGCCTCAGCACGGTAAATGGGGATAATAAGCTGGCCTCCTTGCAAAGTCCTTTGAGATCTACAAAGAAGTGTTACACAGCAGCCATACGCTTCTTTATTACTAGCTCTTTTTCATGTGGTTCCTTTAATAGACATTTGGGTTCTGATTTAGATCGTCTGAACAGAGTGTAGTACTACTGGTCTAAGTAGCAACTCTGTTTGCCAAATATGACTGGGAGACTCTTACTACTGCTATGTAAGCTGTTGAAAAGTCATTTCTCTGAACTTCCCCATGTCAGATACGCTCTTACACAGGGAAAGGCTATTTGTATTCAGAACAACAGAGCTGTCTTCATCTCCCTGCACAATTTCTGCCATGGCATATGCGGGCTAACTGGTGTATGTGGAAACAGCTGAGCATGTAGACACTCACAGGCTCTTCAGTAAATGTACGCTCACTGTTATCTTTCTCTCATTAAGTAAAAGAGAGGAAAATGAATGCCAAAGCATTTCCCATTCTGTGAAGTATATGAATGTGCACAGTCAATTGCACATATGCCTGACTATCCTTATGCACAGTCACAGATGTATGTACTATGAACATGTACAAGCATGCATATATCAACATTAAATAGTGAATGATACATATTTAGAGGGAAAAAAAAAACCAACAAAAAACAAGCAATGGCAAATAAACATTCAGGTTGCAAAGCCAAGTAACACTGAATATTCTGGAAAGCAGGTTCCCTGGGCATCCTTAGTTAGCCCTTTTGAATGACTGTGGTGATACAGTTTTTATTATATGATAACACATGGTGATTTTTTTTCCTTAAGAGATTCCTGTTTCTGCCAATCAGTGGAAAGTCAGTTTTTTAACATTTCTAGTTCTTGTTTTCTTCCACTCAGTGTTCTGGCCTCAGATCTCATGTCCAAATGTTAGACTGAACACAGAGAACATTGATTGCCTTCCAACCTTTGTTTCTCTAATGCACCCTGTTCAATATTACCATAGTCATGCAAAAATGCTGAAGCACAGAGAGAAGGGGCAAAAATGTCTGAATGACAACAATTAGTCAAAACTGAAAGTGAGAGATCTGGAAGCTTTTGCATGCATAGCATTTCCATAGCACTTTCCATTCAAAGCACAGGCTCACTTGACTTCAGCTTCCCTTCATTTCAGACCCCACGTGTCTCCTGTGAGCACCCAGAAAATGAGGCCAAGCACTCAAGAGGGAGGAAATTCCAGAATGATGTCATCATGCCTACACGTGGGGAGCGGAGGGATCTAATCGTGCCCAGGCAATCCAAATTCTGGCATTGCTAGCATTTTAGCATTTGGCTCACAACCATATCATTCTTTTAGCTGAATCTTTTCTTTTGAATATGCATACATTTCTCCGTAAATAAATAAGGACATCTGAACTGTATCAAACCTGCTATAAGCTTTTGCACAGTCTTCCCAGTAAAACTAATATATTGATGTGTGTGCTTTTGGACGAAAAGGCATGGCATGTGTTGTAATAACCTTTGGTTCTTCTTCCTGCTGCAATTAGATCTGGGGAAATCTAGGGAAACTTGGTTTAGATTGTTCCCAGAAGGGGAAGGAAAGGGAGTAAAGATCTACCTTAATAGGTGCTGAAGTATCACTCCAGCCCCTGCTCCAGCTGTGCCATAGTCTTTAGTCCTCTGTTTTAGAAGTAGGAACAGCAGTGGACAGGCAAACAATTTGGCGCACAAAATCAGGGAGGTCAAGGACTTCTGCGGGACAGGAATATATTTACTTCATTACAGTCTGAAAACTTGCTACAAAAGAGATTCTCGGGTTTCACATTTGCAACATTGTCCCTATGCCTTAGTAAATTACAAGGCAAGTGTTGAAGAGTGTAGCATGCTGCCTTCAAAATCACGATTTTCAGTTAAGTGTTAGGGTTTTTTTGTTGTTTGCTTTCTACATGTTTTCTCACACCATTCACCTTTTGAAACTTCCCTGTGCAAGCAGACAGGTTGGAAACAGGTTAAAAATGGAAGCTGAAATCCATATATAAACAACTAGCCCCAAGAGCTGGTGCTCTAGGGAATGAAAACTTGTAAAGCAGGACTCACAAAACTCCTGTGGGAGTTGGCTTCATTAGGTATCTACCATAAGTGTGTCTGTGTGCATATATCTGTACACTGTTCTGATCCTATCTGTGTGCATGCGTACCTGAGGTTAGCACAGTATTCCCTTCTTGCCCTGCTGGTCCCTGCTCTCTCTTCTCACACTTCTCTTCTGTTCTTTGAAACTGGGAATGTCTCTTTCTCCTCTGTGCATCCTCATCTCTGCTAGGCTGAGAATAGATGGACCTTTTTACCCCTCTGTGTGTACCCGTGGTGAAATACACTCTCTGACCCTCTGCTGGTGCTGTGGGATGCTAGCTGCCTTTCAGACAGTGGGCAGAGCAGTGTATGTGCTCTGTTGACTTAAATGCCCTGGCGTGCTCGCTAAAACCTCTTTCAAGGAATAGATAGGGTACCTAGGGAAATGTGATTGCCAAGTGAGGCATCAAAGTGAGCGCACGTTGTACCTATTCCCTCCTTTTCTCTGAGCTTTCCATCTTTTCCTCACTAGTGGTAGGGGGAATAATGACAGATCTTATACCAAGATTTCATTATTTTCCCAAAAGGGAAAGCCCGTGCTGAGACACTTCCTTGGTTTTGTGGCTAAGTCATGCTCTGTAGCTAAGATGTCAGCTAGCAGCCAACACTCTGTAAGCTTCAAGGGGGAGCTTCCAGGTAGGCAAAGTGATGGGAATAGAATGGTGCCTATTAGGGTATTGAAAACAAAATGTAGCTGTGTGTTACTGTTGGCTGAAAGCAACCTGTCAGCAGCAGCATCTCTGTGAGAAGCTGGGGCTGATCATAGTCAGCCTGCACAGGAGAAGGTGCCAGTAGTCGAGCAGCTCGAGCATCATGACAATGTCCCTTGCTGCTGCCAGACATTCACTGCTAATGTGCTGGTGTTAGAGCAGCGAGTGGGCCTGCAGAAGGCAGTGTCCTGATGGGCCATATGGTGACATGTGGGTTGATCAGAAAGCCCCAAAGGACCTACCACAATTTTGTTGATGGCTGAATGCCTCAGGCCAGGAGAATGTTGTTCTGTCACACAGTGGACCCACCCAGTGCACCGGTACTTACTGTGCTTTGATGGTATGTCTTTGCTCCAGAACCCTTCCCTGCACAGCCTAATTGTTAATTTCTGTAACTCCCGCTTTTAGTATCACCTCTATTGTCAGTGTTAGTAGTTCACTGAACCTGTGTTTGTACCCTCTGGACAATGTGAGTGGGCTGAATGCAGGGCCTGGGTTCTGGGGAGTGTATTGCATTGCTCTAGCTGGAGAGAAGTAAGGAGGTCTGTCTTTCCAGCTCTACTGCATTATGTTTTGGTTCGGGCAGTCAGAACTGCTGTAACTTCAGACAGGCATAAAGAAAGGAATGGTTTGCCCTTCTGAATAAAACAAGAACATATGAATGTGGGGAGAGAGAAGAAGGGAGAGAGGCATTTGCATAGGTCAGGAAAGGTCATTAAAACATCTGGCAGTACTAACTGACATGTGTCAAATTTTAGTGTTCATTAAATTCATATTAATGCAAGAATGGCTCTTAAGCTCCAAATGCTGCTTTTGGTTGCTGTGTTCCCCTCGTTGACGGTGATGACTTTTCAGAATTGTGCCATGCTTATTTGCTTACTAGTGGCATCTGACCTGAGGTCAGACTTCTATTTAACCCCTTCCTGTAGGTCAAAAGATAAATTAATCTGCTGAGAATTGAATTGGAAATGAGGTGTCTGGATAACAGGTGTCCCAACTTTGGAATAGCTGCCAGGCTGAAACATGTTTGCATCTGTTCTCATGCCATCCAAGAAGTCATCTCTGAGGTCAAGGAGATATTCAGATGTCATCTGAGATGGGAAGTTGCCACAGGGAGCACAAGTGGCAGGTGCCCTGTGTTAGGAGATTGTCTTGCAGTCTGGGGGTTTGTTTCCGAGAGGGACACTTTGAATATGAAGTAAATGTTTTCACTTGTGCTTTACCTCTATTTAGTAATAGATGACGATTTTAAAAAAGACAGATATATTATGTCCCTTTCCCTTAAAGTGGAAAATCTCGCAATTTCTTTTCATTGCTTTTTTCAGAGGATGAAGATGATGAAGAAATGGTGGAACCAAAAGCACAGGATGACTTGGAGACGGAAAATCAAGACCAGAAGCAGGAAACAAAAGAAGGTACTTTAACAAACAAAAATAATTTGTTACAGTTTTAAAGGACTTGATCCAGCACGTAGTTATTCCACAGGTACTTCTGTTATAGGGAACAATGCAAGAATGAAATGGTCACAAGTTCTTTTGATTCAGGGATTCACTAATGGTATAAAAGCAAAAAACTGTATCCCAGTGACCCAGCATAAGATTTCTGCTGTTCAGAAGAAGCAACATGTCCTCATAATTTGGAAACCAAAGATTTTTGGATTCCAGGACTGGTGCTTACTTGTCCTCTGGTTTAAACAGCCTACTTAAGTGAAAGATTTAAAATGTGAATGCCGGGCATTCCAGCAGCTCCAGAGAGCTGGTTGATCTTCAAAGGTACTTAGAGCCCATAACTGTCTGTCTGCTTGAGAGGGGCAAAATTAAATCTGGTGGGGCCAGACATCTTCCAGCAGAATGCCATTTCAATGGAAAATGTAGACAGTCAAAACATTTTATGGGAGCTTTCCCCAGGGAACTTAAGGCCAAAACTGAAGCCACACAGTCCCAGGTCTTCTATATCTTTGGACTGAGACATTCTCAATTCTTAAAAGGAGCAGAAATTCAGGTTACAGCCTCTTTCTTGTACAAGCCTGTGTCGAAGTAGTTTATGTCAGCACTGGACACACTAGATGCTCCTGGTGCCTCCCATTTACTTTGACCCATTCTATGAGAAGGATGTGAGGTTTCTTTGGTCTTCCTCATTTGGGAATTTACTGGAGTATTGACTGTTTTGCATGGAATTTGGGAAAAGGGCTGAAATACCAGCAAATTCAGCATGAGAGGATATTAGTTTTTTGTCCAACACTTCTTAGCTTTTTATAGCCAGGTTTGCTCATTGTACAGTACACCTTATTGAAAGGTAACTTACTTCCTCAGGTAGGGCCTAAGTCACTTCATGCGGTAGTGATCATTATCAGGATGATTCTGCAACCTCGGTTTTGTTTTTCAAAAATGTTCATTCATTATAGAAAAAATGTGGAATTAGTTTACAGAAGCCCATGAAATCACTGATTGTGACTGTGAATAAGCAGTGGGTGCTTCTTTCTCATCCAGGGGAGCCGACATGACTAATGTCAGTGTCAGAAAAACCAGAATCTGGTGCATAGTGACTGCCTTTTATGCGGGAGTGCGTTGCAGTACTAACCATACTGTTCTGAGTATGAATTAATTTTTCTTCCGTCTTAAGAAGCATCATGGAAATCATCTGCTCCTAAATTCTACAGTCCCCATTGTTCATTTGGTTCTTGAAGAAAAGAGAACGGAGGACCTCATTCCTTCCCCTTCACATCCTTCTGCTTCACTCACTGCCCCCAGTCACCGCTGGCACGGGCAGAAGAGAGCAGCAGTGACAGCAGAAACAGGAGTCACAAAAGAGTCTGCAAAGACACGAACAAGAGACACAGCAGCAGAGAAAAAACGACTTTTTCAAAAAATTATCCTTCCTCCTAAAACTGTAGGATAAACTTACACATGAGTTCAAGCAATCAGTGGCCTAGCACAGTATCTCTTTTCCTAATGACAACAGGAAGCCATAAAAGCTTATATCACTGCAGTTATGCACTGTCCTTTGTTGCTGAATGGTGCTATAGGATTCAGCTAACAATTGATCCCATCCCCATCTATTTCCACATAAAAATAATGCTAGCTGGAGAGAAAGCACAAATTCTTGTATGAAGAAAAGAAAAAAGAATCTAAATACACTGTAGAATTAATTTGTTCTACTTTTTGCTGGACTTTCAAGCAAGTCTTTTTATGAACTTTGCTGACCAAGCACCATCTCCAACATCTTCTAATTCTTTCAGTCTTGGGGACATGCTCCCCTTCCCTACCTAGCAGACCATGGGAATGATAGCTGAGCAGAATTAGTTCAGCACCAGTCCCTCACACACAAACTGCAGAACGCAAAAGCAAGGCACAGCTTGTTTAGCAGAACCGGCTCTGTGAGGTGCTAACAATTGACTGAGTTCAAGGAGGAAGAAAAGATGTTCATTGCCTGATAGAAAGTGAACTTGACCCGCAGTATGTGTCATGACAGAGATTAAATAGTGGCATGTTGATGGCTAGCATTAAATGCTGTGAGTCAAATGAAGCAATCATCCCCAGTCGACAGCGAATAGAGTCCCATTTTTATTGTTTGGTGTAGCTCTTTCCCTTTTGGCTTCAGCCCTTTTGCCAACAAATTCCTGTTTTCCTCTCTGTTGTAATCACCCTTCTCATGTTCTGAGCAACATTCAGAGTTTGAAGCCATCGTTTGTGTTTCATGGAAGTGATTAAAACCATGTTACAAGTCAAACAGGAGTTAAGAACATTTCCTGTCGGTAGTGCACTCTGTGCGCCTACTCAGAATTAATAGCTTTTCTGCAAATTAGCACATAATGGGTTAAAAGCATGTTTATGTTGGCATTAAGTACTCTGGCTTCTTTTCCTCTGCAAGGCAAGACAATATTTTGCAAACTTTTTAAAGAATCTCTAATAGATATTATAGTGGCGCCATTCACACTGCTATATAGTAGTTAAGGCTGTGTCAGCACTTCCATTATGAATCCTGTTTTTCAGGGATTTATAACCCAGCCGTAAAAATTTGCTCTGGGCTGAAATTTGGTTTCAGCTCAGGGAGCACATTTTTAACAGATTAAAAAAATCAGCATGGCCTTTTTTGAGTTATAGGAGTGTAAAAAAAAAAAAAAAAGCATGGGAGAGGGAAGTGTTCGGAGAGAGAAGCAGACAATTCTTTCATGAACATAACTCAAAAATAGGTCCGTATGAAAAATAATGATTGGATCCAGTCCCTTTCCCCAAGCCAACAGGACAGGAGCGCTCTATTTTTATTATGGTATTTCAAGAGGAAATATGATTTTATTTTCCTCTCTGTGGCTTATAGGTAGTTCAATTTAATTCTACAGACATTTATTACACAGTTAATTTCCTCATCTTTCCCCCGCACTCCTCAGAGTTGCTTTGCAGGGTTGGGTGGGACAGTGCAGCAGACCCCTGAGCAGGGCAGAGCCCAGTGCTGGACATGTCCCAGTGTCGCTGCAAGGCACACGAGACACCTGCCCATCTGGCATGACCCCTCCATTACCCTGGGGCAAGGAGGGCAGAGCAGTAGACCCACAGGATGGGGGTGGGAGGTGGGGACCTGACTGCTGAGCTGCTGAAAGCATATGAAGACCCCATGTTTCTTCCACATGACTGCCGGCTGTCATCCATGTCTCACGCTGTGCTGGGAAGAGCCAAGTGTGGGATACCTGTGGGGGAACTGGGCTGGGCCTTGCCTGTTCCCAGCCTCTCCTGACCACATAAACAAGAGCTTGGTCCCAAATTGTGGCATCGGGTGGGATGGGGCTTTCCACCACCAGAGAGCTCTGGAGCTCCACCTCAGGCGCCTCTTTGTGTCAGGAGAAACCACATGAACAGCAGGATGGGCTGGGTCTTGAAAGTGGGCCTCAACCTGCATTTATCTGAAGCCCTGGATGTATCCACAGAAACCGGCATGAAAGGCTGTGAAGGGGGAAGCTGGGATCTGTAGCTTCAAAGACCCACCGTGCCCTCCCTGGACGTGGGCACAGGACCATGTACCTGTGGTGTGCTCATGGTGCAGGTGGGGGGACAGTCCAGCTCTCACCGGACCCAGCATCAGGAGGAGAGAGGCGGGACAGGCTGGTGGCTTGGTCCTGCAGTCTTACTGGTGTGTACAAGAGCCTGCAATTCCACAGTTTCTCTGCCATCAATCCCACAGCTAGGGCAGGGGCATTCGTCTTTCCTGGTAGCTCCGCTCAAGAACACAGGGCGTGCTCAACGACACACACCCTCAAGCCCCTGCAGTGGGAGCAGCCCTGCCCAGCAGAGCTCTGAATTCAAGGCTTCAGACACTGCTTTTCCAGCACTGAAAAATTCCAAAATGCACCTCAAAATTTCCCATACAGCAATTGCACTGCGCAGGGACTTGTGTTTTAAACCTAATGTAACTCACACATGGCATCCATCAAACTTGGACATGGCATATATCAAGTCTAACATGAAAGTGAGACACCAGTAAAACAGGAGGCTTGCAAGGAGACAGAGACCAAGAGCTGAAGAGAGCTGCCCAGCACCTTGTGGTTCTCACACCTTACATTTTTGCTGCGCTCAGTAGTCAGCACATCTGAAGTCTACATGGATTTAAATGTGCACTGAAAGAAGTAACGCAGCTCTTAAAAGGGTTTTGCTAATCTCCTTTTGTCTCTCGTTATATCTCTGTTCTCATAACGAGGCTGCTTCCTGCTGTACTGTTTTTATTAGTTCACCCTTTCTTTCATTCCCTTATGCTTGCTGGTCTTATTTTCTTTTTTGCTCTTAATGGATTTCACTTATTTTGCCAGGTTTTTACAATTGCTTACATTGCAGAAGAATATTCTACTATTGAACTTATTTAAATATGGGTCTTTCTCTGGTTTTTAAATATCTTCTTGGTTCCCTCACAGGACTCAAACCATGCTTTATAAATACTTGTGAATTTGATCCTGTTATCACAACTCTTTATTTACAACTGTCCTGCTACTGTCAGATAAGTACGAGACTGGAGCATTTTTTAGCTTAGATCCTAGCAGTGTAGGGAAATGCTTTTGTATCAGCTTTTTTTCCAAGTGGGGGGCTTCCTTTTTGGTAGCATTCATTGCTCATCAGGCAATGAGCACATAACTTCAAGCACTGGGAAACAAAGCGTCGTGCTGGGCTTTGTTAGACGTGGAGGGTTAGATGTGTGTTTGGTTTTAACTCCAGGTAGAGAAGATACTTGATGGAAAATGCTGAATTCTTCCCTAGAATTTCAGGAGATACTGTCACATCACATATGTCTCTGTAACAAAACAAAACAAGAAATACTTTGATCAGCTACTTACGTTTCTCATAGTTTTCCTTGAAGAGAGTCTGTCTCTCTTGAAAGCTGAGATCAAAGTAACCAAAAGCGTCCAGATAGGAAGAGAAATTGCAGAAAATTACATAGATTCTTTTTATTTTATTCAAGGTAATGGACAGACAGTAACAAGGAGAAAATGGAAGCAGCTCTGTAAGATAAATGGTTAGAAAATCTTTAGAAAATCTTCATATTTGAGAGAACAAGCTCGTATGGTGGTTTTTTTGTTTGTTTGTTTTTTTCTTTTGTTTGTTTGTTTGGTTTTTTATTTTTTATTTTTTGCTTCTACTCCATGTATTCACAGTAGTTCAGAAGTGTTTTATACTGGAAAAAGTAAAGATGTTAACATTCTTGCAACGAGAGATTGCTTGCTCAAATAAAACTTCAGAGGCAGACGAATGAAAGAAGAAAATAAGGTTAAAATATGAAGCTTAATATCGCCAGGGGGCATCTGGTGTGTCAGTCGGGTGGATGAGGTAAGCTGATTTATGCCCTACAAACTTTAGCCAAGGTGTTTCTGATGCCGAAGAGGGTTTAATAAATAGACTGCTGGCCTCCCACAGATAGCTGCTAACTGCAAGGGAGATTTTGCTGAGGTAGAACTGCAATCATTTGTGTCTCCATTGCTTGTGAACACCCCACAGCTCCCAAGCTGTTTAGTTTTTGCTTATCTCCTTTCTACTGATCTTTTGTTGTATTTTCTTTGAGTCCAGTCTCCTATAATAAATTTATATCTCCAACCTCTACAGACTATTTGATTTAGCGAATAATCTTCAGCACTTGGAGCAGTTTAAAATGAGTTTTCTAGTTGCATTTGCAGTTATTTGCTCCTCTTTTATGTGATTTTGCTGCATTGTCATGCTTGTTGCCTTTGATTCTCGGAAAGCAATGCTTTAGTGGTGACAGTGGGATGTTGCCTCATTACAGGCTTCCTTGCCAGATAAGTTCCCCTAGTGCCAATTACTATTTGGTAGTGCATGCTGCAATAGGTCAACCTGTACTTTTTGCTAGTCAGTCTTTTTTCACATGCACTGCTTCTGTCTGAAGCACTTAGAGACAAATTGTGCTCCCGCCTTGGTAATAGTTGCTCTGCTGTGCAGGGGGACTGTGGAGGAACAGAGATTGTCCCTGGATGTGTGGAGCTCTGCAGGCACCACAAACCTGGTGGCAGGAGGCAGAGGGCCAAGGCCATAGGAGACCATCGGGGCTCAAGTTTTAACTTCTTAGCTGCTTCATCTCCTGAGTGCGAAATTGCTTCTCTACCTTTCACATTTTTCTTTCCCTCTATATTTAGACTTAGATTTTTTCTTTTAGAGTGAAAGCTTTGAGCAGGTTAGGCAAACCTAATTGTGATGATAACAGCCTCTCCTAAGCACAGAGAGTGCTCTAGAAGCAAATACTTTGCAAATTGGGGAGCTGAGCACTGCACAAGTGCTGGCCATGGTGTTTCCCCTGCCTTCTGTGCCTCCAGATCCATCCTTGCCCCAGGGGCTGGCGGTGGAGTTGTATCCAGGCAAACACCTGCAACTGCCTCTTAGGACAGCTGTCAGCAAAAAACCCAGCATGAGCCATGGGGCATGGGATGGTGAGCAAGGGCTACATCTCTTTCTGTAACTCTGTAAAACTGCCTGTTTGTGTCTGTAATCCTGAATTTGGAACAGTGTTCTCTGTTAGCATAACTCCTGTGGTGCCAACAGAGCTTTCCAAGCTGGGAATTTGACACAGTTGCAAAGTTGGTGTAACTGTACAGATGCTAATGGCATTTTTTGAAATATAAGTGATTCTGAAATACGACTAAAATGCTTGTTTAAAATCACATGCTGGCAAAGGCATAACTGACACAAAACTTTGCTATATTATCACTACGACCCTGCTGGCGTAATTGAGAACAGAATTTTGCACCGCAGCAATAACAGCATCCAACTTTCTTTCCTCAAATGCTCACGTTTTAACTGTAATTTACCAACAGGTCATTAAACTGACGGAGAAGTGAAACTGGTGCTTCCTGAAATTTTCAGATGAAGGGTCATGCTGGGAATAGCCTTCTGAAATGAAAGAGTTGGTATCTCTGCCAAAAGGAAAGGAGCAGCTCCACGTTGCAGGGACCGGGCTGTCCTGCCTGAGGCGACTCCTACCAGTCCCAGGCAGCCCTGGCCAAGGCACAGTGTATGTGTTGCTCTGGCTCTTAGGATTCCCTTGCAAGGAATAAATATGCCTGAGAGAAAATGGAGTTTGGTCCGTCACTTTAGATTTTGCTGCCTCAGAGAGCGTCTTCAGTTATTTACTTCATTGCTTCACAAAAGCCCAAAGACAAAATTTATCAGTGATACCAAGAAGAAATTGGAAGAAGGGAAGGGAGAGATTATGAGAGCCCTTTTAATACAAAGAACTGTACTATAAGTTGAGCAGATTATTTTATCTTTGGCTCCTCTGACAGATCCCCTGTTACATAAGTGTTCTGCTTTTTCAAGCTAGGTATTGCCTAAATGTCAGTCAGAGCAATTTCCTGAAATAGGAACACTGTGTTTATTTTATCTGAGGCTTTAAGTATTTTCCATTTCAGAATGATAAATATGTAAGATATAGGATCTCTTCTGTGTAAGTGCTACTTTCTGGTAACACACAGGAGCATGTTTAGATCTACTAAAAAATTAGTAGTCGTGATTTTAAGAGTAAAGCTTCGATTTTTGCCCTGATGGTGCTACAGCAAGCTTTCATGTCTAAAGAAATTCAGTGAAGATGTTGATTCATTTGGAAAGGAGTGAAATGTCATACTTCTAACTACATCTTTTAATTTTCCAAGCTCCTCCCAGAGAATTGACAGAAGAAGAAAAACAGCAAGTTCTCCATTCAGAAGAATTCCTGATATTTTTTGACCGGACAATACGTGTAATTGAGCGAGCTTTGGCTGAAGATTCAGACATATTCTTTGACTACAGTGGCAGAGACGTAGAAGAGAAAGATGGGTCAGTTTTGATTTTGATTACTTTTTTATAATAAGCTTATATAAAGAATACCAATGCCTGGAAGCAGTAATTTTGAAACTAAACTAAATACTTATGTAGTTAAGAAAGGGTTAAAACCTCCCCTTGAAGTCTTAGGTCAGTTTATTAGTCTAAATTATTTTGTAAAAGAGTTTCAAACCTTATTGCTGTTTTTGTTTTTTGTTTTTTTCCTTTAAAGTATTACTCAGATTGTTGTTGGTCTTTTTCAGTTTTTGGATGAGAGAATCATTGAATAATAATTGAAACATAGAAATGTACACACGGATATGTAGATGTGCATGAGTACTTTAAGAGGCATACATCTGTATGCTTTAATCCTGGTATTTCTGCAGATACTGCTGCCTCAGTAACCAATTGCACTGTGCTGTGCACTGTGCGGGTGAAAATCACAGTCTCCCAAAGTGTCTGCAATCTAAACACATAAGACAGAAGGTGACACACTGCATGTTCAGCACTGGATAAGGAGTGCAAGAAGCAACACTTGCTAATGTGACAGGAAGTATTTAGGTTTCAGCAGCTGTGTATCCACTGAAGCTTCCTGGCAAATCAGGTGATGTGCTGTGCTGAAGTTATAGGTGACTGCTCCAGAGCATCACCCCATGACAACTGAATGCAGTGGTGTGGCAGTGGTGCACCAGCACTGAGCTTCAGCCAGTCACAGTGGTGCCAGAAGGCATCTGTCATCTCCATGACTGAGAGGAGGTAGTGTAACTTGAAGATTTTGGGAGTCAAAAAGAAGAGAAATTTGGTTGTAGCTTGGACATGAAGGTTCGGAAAAGGAGATGCTGAATGCCAGGATCAGACTTGGTCCTGTGAGAAAGGTAGTAGTGGTGTCCCAAAAGAGCCAACTAGAGAAGTCAGGAAGGCAATGGAAATTAAGAAATCTGGTTTGGTCAAATATGTATAAAATTTGTTCCATGGTGCAAAGTCATTACTCCTTCAAGACTGTTGGTGAAAGCAATTAACTCAAGGTGGCAAACTGTTCCAGAGGTCTGAGAAAAAGTCGTTGGAAACTTCTGCACTGATTTTAAGAGCCTTTTACTGTTACTTCAAGAAGTGTCATTTTGTTTGAATTCACAGAGATGTTCAAGCAGGAGCCAACCTTTCTTTTAACCGTCAGTTCTACGATGAGCACTGGTCAAAGCATCGTGTTGTTACCTGTATGGATTGGTCTCTGCAGGTAAGATGTGAAGCTGGAAGATATGCTTCTGTATGACTTCTAGCTTCTCCCTAAAAAAATATGGTCAGCATCATTTTTACAGAGTGAGTAAATGTGTGTTTCTCCATGATGAAGATTAGCAGGCACCAGTGAATTTGTCATTTTTCTTTTCCTATATATGCTGCTTAATCTTCAAAGTCTGGATTTTATATTAAAACTATAGGTTAAAAAACCTACCTACTCCCCTTTTTTTCTCCCCTCTCTAGTCCTTCATCACATGGAATTCCTTTTAGGACAAACGCATTAAAATTATATTAATGAAAAATAACAAAATAATTAACATTTCATTTTAATGAGCAGTTATAAATAATAATATAGAATCATAGATTCTATATATTAAAATGAAAACAAGAATACAATTTTTTTGTTGTTATTTTTATTTTTATTTTTTTAATGTACTAAAACTCAAAGTGTAGAAGTGTCTGAGCAATTTGAAAAGATCAAAAAGAGATCTCTGAAAATTTTGGATCCTCTCTTCAAGTTATGAAAGAGAAGACTGCAGCCGCCCAGGGCACATGCTAAAGTAATGTGCCTGGAAGGTATCCAAGATATGTGCACCGCAAAGCGCTGTCATATTGCAAGCTAAAACTGACTGGAGAGCTGCTTCAGCTTCACCAAACCAATACAGCCACATCAGCAAGGCAAAGAAACCAGGTTAATGAGTTACTCTGTTGGAGAGCTGGGATTAGTATGCACACATCATCAAGGGTCCTGTCAAATTTTTTGGTCCCAGTTTCACTCCAGCTGCCCTCTCCTCTGTGCTTCAGCTCCTTTTAGCCTGATCCTAAGTGTCAGCCTGGAGTGGAGAAAAGGAGCTGGTTTTCTGGGGGAGGGAATCAAGGAGTCTGCTTCAGGGTCCATGGTACAGATATAATGAAATTGCTCCAGGAGGACATAGAGTTGTTCCTGTGGTGTGTTTTTACTGGGGCGAGGATAAGTAGCACAGAACACGGTGGTTCTTGTATCCAGCCCTATTGCCTTCCCCTCAAAATGGCCACAGGACTGCTTCCATCACTCTGAGTGCTTCTCCAGGAGGGTGGCACATGTTGCACGAAGGCCATACTGGCCTGACTGGGGCTGGGGCTGTGCTCACAGCAGCCCACTGCAACCTGCTCCATGTGTGCAAAGGCTGCTTGTGACACCCACCTCATGCCCTGTGTGCAAAATGAAGGATGTATCCCTTTGCTATTGTACAAAATGTCAGCTTAAGAGCAGGTACGCACTGGTGTGATGTGGGTGGCCTATAAGCACATATGGATTTCCACAGAAATCAAATATAAGCCTGAGGAAACACTTATCTTAGGTTGTTCACTTGTTCAGGGGCTGGAAATTACATGGAATTCTTATCTGATATTTTCCTAACAGGCAGCTCTGACTGTATTCCCAGGGCAGCAAGAAAAAAGCCGCCTCAGAAGAGCACTGCCAAATGTAATTGCTCAGCCCCTGGGGCGCACAGACATGTTCTGCTTCCCACCTCTTTGTTCCAGGGTGGCCCCTCCTGCCTTCCCCTACGTTAACTCCTCATGCTCAACTCCCCGTCACCCTACAGGAGCTTCTGTGTGCCGAGGCTCCTCCACACTGTCTGTGGCCTGGGAGGAGGCACCAGGCCTCGCTGACTTGCCCCGAGGTGTGCATTGCAGCTGAGGCTGGAGACAGCTGGAGGCCTTTCGCCTGACCACTAGCTTTGCTTCTCACACACACTGCAGACCATGGTGGTGTCCAGTGTGCCAAAGGACAGCTCAAATAGTCATGGGAACTGTGGAATACGTTGCTCAATGTTCTATGATAGAAGTGTTGCTGCAAAACATCCTGGGGGTGAATAAAAGCTTAATCAAACAAAGGGACTTGATGCATTGATGAAACAAGTTATTCTGTTCCTAGTCACATGTAAAATATGTGATCATTCATACCACGAGCTCCTTGATTCTCTTTGGAGCAAAGGGAAGATTGACTCAATCCTTCATCAAAGCACTGAGGGAAAAGCTCAGAAGAGTGAATGTAAACAGAGCATGGGATCACCTTGCTTTGTCTGTGAGGAGGTAACAGCTTGCCTGAAGCCAGGAAAGCTACAGCTGCAGGGTTGTTGCTGTGTCCTCTTGACTGTCAGGCTGCGTCCCTGAATGCTTTTTCACACTGCAGCATTTCCATGGGGGAATTTCCTGGGACAGACGGATGCTCAGTGAGGACTGAACAGCTGTAAATGCAAGTTGGTAGAACAGACTGATGGATTTGTGGTGGTGCACTTGGCTCTATTCTTGCAGAATCAAAAAGCCTCTTCTTGGCACTGCTCATCTGGATGTGACTCTGGTGTCTGTGCAAACCTGAAACTGTATTTCCAGACTGTTGCATAAACTTTGATTGCAAAACGTACATATAGACCAGCAAGGCGTGAGTCAGTGTTTGTTTATGCCCAGATGCACTGTCAACCAGAACATGCTCACTAAACTCCAGAAGCATGAACAAACCCCATACTGGTACCTGTGACTGTTCATGACCTGTCTCCTAGTGGCGATTCTGCCTGCTGAGGTAACTGCCCCTTCAATAGCATGGGCTCAGCCGCTGGCCCAACTGGTACCTGACTTGCTCGGTAAAAATGAGACACGCTGGCAAAAGCCTTCTGCACGTGCTGCTTCCTTGGACCAGGGCCAATATGGGATGAAAAGGTTCAAAGGAGAAGCTAAACTCGCTGTTCAGCAGTGGTTATAATCTCTGTCATGAGAGAGAAAAGAGAGATCTCAGAAGGCATTTGAGCAGAGGAAGGCAGACTGATGCAGCTGTGTCCCTAGAGGCTGTGTGGAATCAAACCACCTTTGGATGTCTGAGTTCTGGAGGAGGAAGACGTCGTTGCTCTGGTGCATGTTCTAAGTCTCTTAGAAGAAGTTTGGGTGCCCTTACAAGCAGTGCCACCAGCCAGGCTCTGGTGGAACATAGGTGCCCCCCCCCCATCAGAGCCACCTTCTTCCAAAAAGGGGAAGGGATAGCTGTGGTGACCACACACCATTGTTGGTCCTTCCACCCATGATTCCAGGATCTGGCTCAGATCTCTTACATGAAATGATAGTTTGAATAGAACAATCATCAGCTCCATGATATATTATCCATGGAAATGTAGCCAAAGTGGGAAAGAAGAGTTGCTGATGACAAAAGTTACAGCTGTATGCATTATTTCTTCCAAATGGATTTTGGGATCAGACGGCATCAAGCCACACTAGTAATGATAGAAAAGAGTGTTTGTAATTTTTAAAATGCCTGGTGTGGACCAAATTCATAGCTCCCAGCAGCATCGCTGGCAGTTCCTTTGTCCCGCTTCCTTTACACGTACCAGCTGTGCTCTTCCCCTATGAAGTGGTGAATAGTTTGGCAGGAACTTACCTGGGAAAGACAGTGACAATGACTTGCAATTACCATTGGGAAATTTTGAGGGAAAGCATTCCTAGTTTACAAGAGGAGGATGTGGGTCCAACAAACTGGTAGTGCTAGATCATTGGTCTGCCAGAGTCTGTGTGTTCTTCTCCAGATGTACCATAAAGTCCATTACCCTATCTGGACTATTTAGAGGGAAGGACAGAGGTTACAGAGGTACTGGGTGTCAGAAATACAGGAAATATATGATATTATGTATAGGTATGCATATGTATATATATACATACGGGGCAAATACATATGTGTGTGGTGCATATCTACTTATATACATCAGTGGATAATGCATGCACTAGAAAATATGAATCTATTTCAGAGTGCTCATTGGAATAGGCTTACTGAGTCAGTGGAATTGGATGTCACCCTGAGCTTTAGCAGATGACCTCACCGTCTTGCAAAAGTGAGCAAAATTTGTTTGCTATTTGAATCATCTGAAAGAGCTTTCAAGTTGTTTCTATGTATAAGTGAATAGGAAGAGTGCATACTGAAATTAGAAGGAATAGTTTTGTGAGATGTTGAGGAATTGTGAGTTTCAAAATAAGTGCTATCTTCACAATGATTTTACCATCAAAATCAATTAAGGCAATGATTCTGAAGAAATGGTTAAGCAAATACATTACAATTGCTCAAACTTTCAGATTTTTCCTTTTAACTGTATTCTTTGCTTTACTTCCCTTTATGAAATATCCTGTTAGTTGTCTTTTCTGAGAATTATATGCAGAAAATAACATTGCCTTTGTGATATGTGAGAATAACCAATACAGAGCAAGGAGCAGGGGCTTTAAGGACATCAGGGACAAGTAAAATATAAAACCAAAATGTAGCTAAATACTGAGGTTGAACTAGCATGTATTATAATTAAAACCAGATATTCCATATGTAGAGTGAGATTATTTCTCTCTCATCTGATTTCGCATGCCTTCTTCATCATCCAGTTCATTTCATTCTCTCTCTTTTTTTTTTCCTAGTACCCTGAGTTGATGGTTGCATCTTATAACAATAATGAAGATGCTCCACATGAGCCTGATGGGGTAGCCCTGGTATGGAACATGAAGTTCAAGAAAACCACACCAGAATATGTTTTCCATTGTCAGGTAAGACAGAGGAAGCCATTAATTTCATGGTAGACGAAACAGAGTTTACTACATGGTGCATCTGCTCAGTGTTTATATGAAGCAGTTGAGGTTAAAAATAAGCATTTTTGGAAAAAGTACAAGCAGCAGTCCAATGTTTTGAGAAGGAATCCAGCCTTCTTGTACAATACTGCAAGCTTGTCAGGGACTGCGTGTCATTCTTGGTCTATTTAAAACACTTCCTAAGAGATTTAGTTTATAAAGCCCTTGCACTTATGAAGTAACTGTGGTGTACCACTTCCTCATCCAAACAGCAACATATGCTTTCCCACCCACGTTAGCTTCCTCACATCCTTTGCACTCCAAGCTGCCTATCCTTGCCTTGGCTATGCTCAGCATCATGTTCTGCCTTTAAAATTCTTAGGTACGGTGTGCATTTCTGGGCATGCATCTTACAGCTTGATAAAAACTTTCTTGATTACAAGGATTACGCCAGCAATTCCCATTTGACGGTCCCCTATGCTATATAACCAATATTTCACTTCACTCAATGCTACTTTATGACCACGCTGTTTTGGAAGTCTATGAGCAATTCAAAAATAGCTGGATGTTTTATTTCCATAGGTCTATTTACTCTTCTTTTCCCACTGCTTTTCTGTGTGAAGTGGCACAGCCTCATATTGACAGAAATGTCAGTTGACATTGGCTCTCTCTCCATCAAACTGTCCAAATTGTGGAACAGGACTTGGGCCAAATTTCCAACCTCTTTATTAATATCCTTTCGTGGTAATTAAATACAGGACAGTGGCGTTCAGAAAGCCATATGGAAAAGTTTCAGCAAGTAAAACTTAACAATCAGAGATTAGTAAAATGCAGATTATTCTGCGGTAAAAATTGTTTTTCTTGGAAGGATATGTATTACCTGGCTAATTGTGTAAGCTAAGTGTCATTTTACATTCAGGGACCAAACATCTTTTTGAACTAAGTTTCTGTTTGGACTTGGGTACATTATCAGATGTAGCATAGTGGGAGGGAGTTGCTGGAATTGAAGTTAGTGCTTCAACCCGATTAAGTAACCTTTAATTCTGGGCATGTTTTTCTAATTTGCTATACTGAAAAACAACTTCACAAGGAGTCTAGGCCTGCTCAGAAAATATGCCATATAGATTCATATATATGTATTTGTATGTGTGTGTTACCTTTGAAATGAGAACTTGCATTTTTTCTGGATATCATATTCAGCAGACTGATGTGTTGTTTCAGAATGCTTAAGATCTTAGCTTAGATCCTGTGCTCAAATTCTTCTAGGATGTACAGGCAGCCTGATGTTTTAAACAAAATATTCAAGAGAAGAGACTGCCCATTACAGTTTTGGGTAGAATAATCTTTGAACTAGGCTGATTTTGTGAGTTAATTGCTAGATTCAGAGTAGACCTACTGAGTGCACAAAGAGAGATTGATTAGAGGCATAACAATGGTTCTGTTAGTTAAAAAAAGTGTCTAGTTTTAAAAGTCAGTACTCTTAAACGAGGAGAGGTATGACTCAATAAATTGAAAGCACTGAGACAGGCTATATTTTCCATTAGAAAAACATACATAGGCAAAGTAATTGCTGAAGATTTGGCCTGGGTGGGCTTCTGTCTGATTCCCCCATTAAGTTGCATGTTTCACTTTTTAGTACGGGAGCCTTAAAGCCTGTGTATTTTGAGAAACACATGTGGTACTATGCTTTCACATACATCCTGGATTAATCATATTTCAGTGAAATTAAATCAGTTCTTGTATTTGTGGAAAATATTTATTTTCTTGGTCAAACTGTCCACAGGTAATTTGCATTATGCATTTGTTAGGAGTTGGAATCATGTTCGGCTTCTGATATGTGGAATATCCTTTGCATCTTACACTGGACAAGGAGACCCACATTATATAAAGAGGGAAGCAAAAAGTATGAGACTTGAGGCCTTGATTGAGATGGAAGATGAGAAAAAATATTTTCTTACCTCAAAGTCTGGAATTCACATATTCAGTTAATGTAAACCTACTGTATTATTACTTAGCCCCATAACATTTATATTACTATTTTGCAAAAGAAATATTCCCTGATTCAGTCATTTATCTAGGTCTTCTGTGAGACATGCACAATTTTTCTTCAGGAACACATGGCGTTATAACAGTCCATCCTGGCGGCTAGAAATGAACACATCTTGGGTTAGCAAGCTATGACAAACATACATCACTTTGAGCTTATTTTCCCAGTAGATCTCTATTTACTTTTTCAAAGAGTTTCTATTGAAACATGGTCTTGATACACACTATCTGATTGTGACTAATCTTTTGCCTTTCAATTTTTGAACTCAGTGAGATACAAACATGTAGAAACTCATTTCAGATGTGACAGTAGAGGAACTCCTGCAGGACCCCTCTTTGAAGCCGTAGACATCAATGGTTTATGAAGCCATTTCTCAACAAGAAATTCCACCTCAAGTGTTCTGGTGGCATCAGTAGACACAGATATGCGAAACATCCCTGGACAGTTAAAGAGTTGTTTAAACTTCAATAGGTAGAACTTTCAATAATTTGACTTCTTTTGCATATTTAGTGAATTTCTGAAACTAAGTACCATGGGTTTTTTTGCCTTTCCTGGTATATTACAAAGATTTAAATGAAATGATTGCCAAGGAATTTCTTCACTTTCTTCAAGTTCTCCCGACTTTTTTGTAATCTTCTGTAGAATCACAGAAATTGTCACAGTCAGACCAAAAGGCAGTCTTTCCCAGTGCCTTTGTCGAAAGTTGCCAGAAGCTATGGGCTTCAGTTGAAGTTATCTGTCAGTCATGGCAGACAGTGATGCCACAATCTACTGGTGATGAACTTTTTTCCCAACTCCACTCGGAAAAGCATTTGATTTCAGTCCTCAAATGGGGATGATGTATTCGCTAAATGTTTATTCCAGCTGTTGTCACAAATTATGTTACTGTTAAGAAATTCTTGCACAATTTAATCTCACATTAGGTTGTTGGCTCATTAATACAGTGTAGGTGATAGAAAAATTTAAAGCTCTACAGTATGCTATGCTAGAAGTACTGCGTTCAGTTTTAGTTAATATGTATCAAGGGACCAATGGGACTTGTTTATCCTACTCACTGATTCATGTGAATTGTCATATAAAATCCTATCAAATCCTTTCTACACAAAGCAATCCTACTGGTTTCTACTTTTTCCTCCTGTGGAATACTTCTTTTCTTCTACTGTTACTGCCCTTGTTTAGATTTGTGTATTTCTCTTTTACTCAGTAATGTATTTTAGCTGGGAGTCCCACGGATTTTTTCCTCTATAGCTCATCATACATCTCTTTACCACAAAACTAGAAATGGGAAAGCAAGGAAGAGTGAGGGATTGGTACTTTGTTCATTTGTTTTCCTATGCAAGCAAAAAATATTGTCTCAAAAGCATAATCAAAGTGGAAGGGTGATATTATTTGCCAAAGGAAGGAATGTCCAATGCTTTCCTTGGGTACTGAGGAATAAATTGAGCGTATCTTTAATACTGTAGCCTGCAGACTGGGAATTTCCTTGTAGGGAAAAGTCAGGAATGTCCTCTTCCCCCATGCTGGAGCATCACAAACTCTTGGTGTAATGCAGTGCATTCCAAAGGCAAAAACCAAGACTTTCAGAAGTACTTTATGAGGCCCTGTGAATGAGTCAGCCCTTGGGTTGGTTTGGCAGTATCCAGAGAGGGAATGATTTCCAGCAAAGACATGGAAATCACATTGACTCTCCCCCAGTTTGGTGAGAGAATTTTAAGCAGTTTACACTATTCCTCTCAGCTACTGGTAGTCTGCATTTAGATGGGGGTGAGAAAAATGAAAATAGTATAGCAGAATTATTGATGATATGATATTGAGCTCAACATGAGCTCAATCCTATACTGATTTATGTTGTGCATGAGGCTGGCTTTGGATGTGATCATTTCTGTACTATTGATAAGAGGAGGAGCATCGTATTATTTCTCAGTCTTACTCTCTTAGAAAATGCTTATATGTCTCTTATATGTCTTTTCTCTGAACAACAAGAAAAAGATCTACCTTACACAGCATTAATTATGAGGATTACCTGTAGTAAATTGCCCAGTTTTTATATAGTACAGTCATCTCTGCCCATAACATTGCTCATGTTTCCAGGTAGGCTGATTTAAGCTTCCTAAGCCAAAGTGACCTAACGAAGTATCTGAAATTTTGCATCAATATCTCTGATGGAGTAAGGTAAATGAGAACTCCAATTGTCTTTGCTCTAAACAGGCTACTTGAAGTCTGATCTTTTGTACTCTCCCTCTTAGCAGAGACTATAAGCATATGTACAGTACTGCTTTTATACCAGATTTTCTAGCTTTTAGATTAGAGCTGATCTGCAGGGATGGAAGGCAAGAAGGGAAGCAATAATCAGTGTCTAGGGGACTTGAGGATGCTACAAAATATTTCCTTTCTTGTGGAGCTGAAGTGAGGTTATTGAATTTGGCTGAGGTATCAGGATGTGAGCTTCAAACATCTGTTACTTCATGAAAGGAAAGGTAGAGAAACGTAGCTATAGATGCTAGTGTTGTGCAAATAAACTGCTTTCAATCTTAGTCTCTGATTTGGAAGACTCTGCTTTGAGTTTGGAAGCTTTGATGAGTTCTGCTTTCTTACAACCAAAGCAGCAGCAGTAACTACAATAAAAAAACAGCTACATTGGTTTATTCTAGATTATTGGACTAGATGGTCTTGCAGGTCATTTTCAACCTTGCAATTCTATGATTCTATGATTTCCTCATATATTAATTTTCTTTTTCAAAATGTCTCAACAGGTAGTGGAAAGTACAAAGCTGACACTTAGAAGTAACTCCATTCAGTGTACTTTTAAGGAAGGAGAGCATATATGAAGTAGCTTTTTCATTTGAGGAAGCAGGAAGCATTTTTGAGTTCTATGAAGAAATCAGATCAACTTTTAGCATAATCACAAAAAGATTTCAGCAGTATATCTCTT